TTTTAAATTATAGACGTCTCAAAGTTTGAGATAAATACATTTAACAGCAGCAGTTTTAATATGTATTCCTTCATAATTTTGTCAAATGTACGATCAGTACTAGAATCCAAATTAAAATTTTTCTGTGAATTAGTTCAGGACCAAGAATGAAAAATATGATTGAAAGAGCAGACCAGTAACTGATGCTAAAAATACATCAGTTTCGCTCATGTTTATCTCACATCCATCCTCCCCTAATGACAACTTCTTGAGGATACCGAAAAATATCACAGTCCTCACTGACAGAATAGAAGATTTTCGGATCTTCTAATCTGTCCAATGGCTTAAGTCAAGATAAATTAATATCATATTGAACAGATGCAAATTGCCAAATTAAAGCGCTAGACTATTCATCTCATTCATCTAAACTCAATAAGATGGAGCACTTTTGGCACTCAGTCAGAATTTCTCATATTTCTTCCTTGTTCAAAGAAGAAATAGGCAGCTAAAAATACCATATGTATTGTAGATATCTGTGTAATTACTGTATGTATGCATTCGAACTCTATAATTGGAATAAAATTTAAAGAGTCGACATTCCAATAGGGACGAGAATTTGATTGCAAACTGTATAATCATTATCGAAGTATGAAGAAAAAAAATCAGTAGTAAAGTATTTGATTTAAATTATCTTGATAATCGATTGTTGTTCCTTAGATTAAAAAGAATAGCTATTTTCATTTATGCTTCAACCTTTAATTAATATAACGCAATAATATTTAATCATTTTTCGTGCATATTGCTTCATTTCTTGGACATATTTTAGTGATCAATATATTATTGACGTCAGAAGACATCTATATTTTATATTCTAATGACTAAATGTAATGACTCTATAAGTCTTACTCACTTATGACATAATTACGATTTGGTAAGAGAGAGAAGGTGAAAAGAAAAGGAAATAGAGGAAAGTGCCAAAACTTATCAGTATATAAAGCCAATAGTCGCTACATAGGTAAATTAAAACGAATACCAAAACAGCATGGCTAGCTTATATAAACTTTTCTCGATGGTGATTGTTGGCTTATTAGTGATGCTGCTCGTGGAACAGATCCAAGGCGATTGCTTCGATGATTGGAGTCGATGCACACCAACATCATCAGGCTTAACTGGCTTTCTGTGGCAATCGTGCCAAGATCGGTGTGTTTGCTTGGGCAAAGCGGGTGGTAGCTGTCAGACAGTTCCGAACACATGTTCATGGTTACCACCGGGAAGTACAATTCAGCGATGTATTTGCTATGGTATAGGCCTACCACTGCCATGGTGGAAGAAACTTGCATGCATAACTCCCTGGGGTGGCAAATAAGTTCAACAGATTTCATACATAATCTTGAAATTATAGAACTATTTGTTCTAGTAAATAAACATTTTAATCTGGAAGAAATAGATTTTTATTATTTTTCTATAAATTCCTGTATCACATGTAAATAAAAACTTGCATAGCAATCTAACAACATAACACTTTAAGATAGCAATTTTCCGTGCCATGATTTCAGATCTTCTTATATACACTGTTTAATGAAGGTGAGTTGTAAGGCAACTACAAGATGAACACTGAAATGAACGACACTACCAAGAAGATATTTTATTCTTCGTATTTTCTTTTTGTATTACTTAATCACATTGTTATGACTACATGAGTTTAAGTGTGATGAGGTTTGCATTCAAAACATATATTTTAGAGAAATTGACATATTTTCGATCATATTTATTCCTCAGTCGAGCTATATTTTGTCTTCTTACGATTCGATTTGAGTACGAAATTATAATGCTCAAGACTTTTTTCCAATGTCAGGCAAGAATACGATTGAGGCATAAATCAATCGTTACCGAAAGGTTATGAAACACATGATATTCAGATATTTTTCGTTTTTTTCTCTTTTTTTTTGTTTCCAACAAAAAAAATTTAACCAATAATTTCACAAACAATGATATTGAGCCGATCTTCGCGTATGCTAAAAAGCATCAATAAAAAAGACATATAATAACGACAAAGCAAATTCATACAACACATAGAGAATAATTCAATGATGAATCACTCAATTCGTATGTCGAGTATATGATCCGCTACATCTGTTATGATCCTTGTTAATAATACGAAATGGTATTATTCCTGTTATATAATTGCTTCATGTTACCTTCATCTTATTCACTTCTTTCTCAATTTCTCTCTTCTGTTAATTCTTTTTGTTGTCCTCTTTCTATGCATGGTGTGTCTTTCAGTTTGTAGCTTTTGGGTGAATAATGATGAACATGTTATTGTCAGATAAAAGAAAGAATAAAAAACATCAAAAGTTAAGTACACCATAACAATGACCATATAACTTGGTCTGGGTGTAGGTATGATATTTTGTTTACTTATACTCACACCCACACCTACTCTAGTACTGAATTTACATTCGATCAAATATATGACTTGAGAAGGATAAAATAATTCATTTAACAAAATAATATACAGGCTAAGCAAAAGATATATGATCGGTATACTTAAAAAACCAATATAGCAAAAAAAACTGCAGCTATTGGCTGAATAACATATTATAAACTCTTTTCATGGTATTTCAATAGTGGCTTGATTTATTCTTTGAAAATAATCTTATGAATAAATGTAACCGATGTACAACAGAACAATAAATCAAGTCTATCATTCTTTTTCTTCTATAATTTCTGACTTGAACTTGTAACAATCGAAAAATAAATATTTACGTTCAGCATATACTGATTTTTATCTGGTAAGAGGAAATAATAAAGGGAAAAAGAAGAAAATATCTTTTTGTTAGACGATACCTCGTTCTCTTTCAATAATTTTCTATCATACTCAAGCATAAGTTGAATATTCTCTATTCAATTTATTTAGGAAAAACTACATTTTTCAAATGTAAAGATTTTTTTTCACAAAATATATTTCTCAACAAGCCGATTAAATTTTGATGTTTTCATCATGTTTATCTTTTCACTTTTTATCTCTTTTTATAATTAGCTCCCTAATCATCTGACTTTGGATGATCTTTTCTTGAAATTATGCATTTTCTATAATTATGTATACGCAAGCATGAAAATAAAACATTTTCATGTTATTTGTCTTCTCATTTGACAACGAGAACGTTTAACAATGGAAGAAAGAACAAACTACAAAAAAAGAAAAAAAGATGGCCAGTGAAGACGAAAGCAACAAAAGAAAGACAAGAGTATCTAAAGTAAAGGACACAAATGTAGTTGAAAAATCGATAGCATAAATTATTCTATACATCAATATAAAGTTCAAACATGAGTTATCAAACTCTCTCCACAATTCTTTTTGTTTCAGAAACACTGAGGAAATTTTTTTAGAATACAAATAATGAAATTCGATCAATCACACGGCTATAAGTTGAAATTTGATTGATTGCCGTACATTGAACAAATCTTTTTGAATTTTGACAATATCTTCTATCAATTGTTGGTCTTGTTCTAAAGTTTCCATCACCTGTAATGTTATTTTCTTCAAATGACTACATTTGCTTACTAATCTTCTCCATTCATTCAAATGTAACAATTGCTCGAGATTATACTTATTAATGATCAAACGAACATATCGAATATTTGACATACATTGAATCAGATCAATTGTTATCGTCAAAAAACATGACTTGCTATGTTTCAAACAGTCGTTCATCGAAGGTAAAGCAGCATGACTCACATCAAACAGAAAATTTTCAATGGTTACGTTTGGCATACATGTTTTGCTTGACTGATATATCGAGGAGTGAGTACAACATATTTCAGCACAACGAATTTCGAATCTTCTAATTGAATTACCGAGTTGATGTAATTGGTAACTAAGCATAGTGGAATTAATTTGATTATTACACCACAGCGAAAGACTAGTTAAATTGGGAAAATATGCTTGGCATGCTTTGATTTGATCCATAGTTTGATAGTCGAGAATGATAAGCGAAATAACATTAGTGAAATTACTTAAAGATGGTAAAATCATTGAACGCAGCCGAATTGGATTAAGACGTATGGAAACAATTTGTTCAGGACCGATTTTTCGCAGAATCATTTTGATAAATGCATCAGAAGAGTACGAAATATGTACTTTTGTTTTATATTTATGTAATAAAGAAAGAATTTTGTCGGAGAAAGCTTTAACTGTATCGTTTAATGTAAGATATTCGGCTATGTCGAGAATTACATCCAAGGAAAGACCAGTCTTTGTGATGAAGTCAAATGACTAAAATAATAATAATAACAATAACAGATTCTTTTTCTTTGATATCTAGTAAATTCGAGTTTATATACAAACAAGAAGCAAATAAATAGTAATGACTCACTAAAAATTGTTCGTTGTCATCACATTCGTCCTTAAAGGTAATCAACTGTTGTAAGAATGTTTCACGAGTTGGTTTTTCTTGAGTTTGTGTTAATGTATTACCTTCAAACAATAATTTAAATTCATAGTCAGATATTACTGACCAACCCTTTTCTCCTGCCGATCGCTGCATAATACCAATAAATATTGGACATTGTTTAGCAGATACAATATTCAAGAGTTCAATAGAAAACATTTCTTTCCAGATCTGTATCAATCTATTTAAAAAGATAAAAAATGTCCTAATGAATAGATACACATCTTATTTAGCTTCAAAAAATATATTAAAATAATATTTTATATTCTAACAAACAATGTCGGATTAAAACTGAACACATTTAATGTGCATTTATGCTGATTATGAAAACGAAAAATAAATAATTAATACGATTGAATCATCAATCAATTACCTATTTCTATTTGATTCATATGTAATATCCCATGGCCATACAATATAATTTTCAAGTAAATATTCAATTATAATCTCTGAGCAGAATATATTCGAACAAAACGTATTGTTAAACATACTTTTGTCATGGTGTATATAGACAAGTACTGGACGACGCTAAAAGGAAACATCTTTCTGTATTTTGTATATTGATACAGGCTAAGGTGTACGAACTTCTTTAATTACTGTTGAACTGAAAGCTTCTTGACATGACTCTTGAAGAGATCCCATGAAAAATACTGGACAAGTACTGTAACGTCTTGTAAAACATAAATAAAAAGATTCAATACCAACAGCTTCATTTTGGCAACCGTCAGGAACTTTGATAAATAAAATAATTTAAAAAAAAAATTTCTTTTCATCTCATATATACAAAGAATAACCTACAAGGACGACGATCAAAAAACGTATGATCATAATCGAAAAACTCATCATCATTCATTTCTATATCGTCATCCTACAAAGAAAAACGAATACAATCAGTTTTAAAAACTTCACTCTCGGTTTTCGTCAATTGAAAAATTGTACTTACCATATAACTGCTGCTGTGTTTAGTATCAACAAAAAAATTTATCTAAAAATAAAGATGCATCTTTTTCTAGTCAATTTCGAAAAATAATTTTTGGAAAAATATCCAATTTCATGGTTCCAACAACATGAAATGCTAACCGCTTTTAGCTAAAAGTTTTTTTTGCTATATACAGAGAGTGAGTCAGATGTAGAACGATAAATCAAACGTATGGTTTTTGTTCAATTTTTTCTCTGCTTGTCAAACAGAGGCGCGTTAAGATCCAGGCAGGTATTGCAACGAAAAAAGTGCCAATAAGGTTTTATTTTATCTTTTTTCTTTCATCTAATTCCTCGTTGCATATCTGGCTCGGTATATTTTCTGGATATCTCTGGTGTAATCTCAAAATGTTTTATGCAAACAATCATATTTCAATATAGAACTTACTGTGGTAACCGTTTAAGGGAAACAACGAGTAGGGAAAATGTGGATACCATTGTAGAGGCACATGAAATCGTATAATGGAAAATTCTTATTGACTAAAAGAAATCTGAGTGCGTCCCACTATGTTAAATTAATCTTCAAATTATGTCAAAAATTTATGAAAAAATACTGAATTGAAAGAAAATATTTGACAAACTTCACATATGTAGTCTACTTGACATGCGTGTTGAACAGTTTTGATCGGATTCTTTCACACCATAAATTGAATAATCCTATAAGATCATTTGCTTATTTTGATGGAGACACTTGATTAGACAGTTATTCGAATGGTCCTGCGTAATAATAGAATTCAGTTCAAGATGAAACGTCTTAAACGAGTAGGACAGAGCTGTTTTGTTGATTTGCTTCTAAAATTAGAAGGTTCGGTTTGTCGCATGTGACTGCTTCAATTGATTAATAAAAAAGCTATGCTGTAAAATGAAACGAATTAGCTAATGTAACGAGTTGAATGCTAAAATTCGTTTTTCTAAACTTAAATCGCAGTATGTATTTGCTTTCACGAAATGCTTATCATAGAAATTATACCAATTAGTGTGCACATTTGAATATAATAAAGCGAACTAGAACTTTTAAATTCAATATCACAAGCCTCAAATGTGAAAAAATTGCAATAGAAACACAGCTAATAATAAAAATTTGTACTTTGAAAACATTTATTCTCTATTGGCAGCTAGTTTTTTGCGTTAAGTCTATGTGCCATCACGCGACTTCATGTGCTTCTACAATGGTATCCATATTTTCCCTTAATTTGTTTGTTTTCCTTAAACGATTACCACAGATGATACTAGATATAGAGAGGACAACACTAAAATTAAAAAAAAAAGAAAAAAGATAATTTTCCACTGATCGCACGAATATCAACACATATATTAATAAATGGATAAATAAAGACGATGATGAAAATATAATTATCTCCTAGATGAAACTATATTCTGAATAAAAACTATGAATATTATGCTTCAATCATAGAGGAAATGTAAAAAGACTAAAAAATCTCGATTAGTTGCTGATTAAATGGATATACAGTCGAGTCCGCTTATAAGAGCGCAGTCGGGATTTCTAAAAGAGGCTCTTATATCCGGACCGCTCCTTTATCCGAACTATATGTAAAAGTGCAAAAAATTGTTTCTTGTCAACATTTATTAAGTAGTACATAGACATACATAAATTTACTTAAAGAAATCCATGATTTTACTTTGAGTACGATTAATTAAAGCGTTCTTTTCTATCATGTCTTCGATATCATAATATGAATTATACTCTGTAAAATTCTCTTCCAAATACTTGCGAACCATCGAAAGATGCATCAGTGCATCTTTATGAGAGACACCTGATATCGATTCATAAGAAATTCCGGCTTCTTCTACGTCTTCTTCTTCTAAATCGGCCATTCCTTATCGATTTAGTTTGGATGGATGAATATCTGATCCCTTTATTGAAGAAACAGCAAGTATATATACATAGGAGAGAGACAATAGACGGACTAGAGAAAAACTGGAGAAGCTTCGTCCGTCTGTTTAGAAAATGAATAATAGACAGAAAAAGACAATGGTTCTTCTTACTCAACAAAGACGTCAGTTAGGACAAGTGAGTAAGACGAAAAAGAGCATACGTACAACAGATGAATAGAAAAAGAAAAGAACAAGAACATACAATATGGCTCTTTTATGCGGACTCAAATCGCAAAAAAGCGCCAAAACAAAGCTCTTATAAGCGAACCGCTCCTTTATCCGAAGCTCTCATAAGCGGACTTTGCCAGCACGTAAAACACAGGAGAAAAAAACGGGGAATTGGAAAACGGCTCTTAAAAGCGGACCGCTCCTTTATCCGGAGCTCTTATAAGTGGACTCGACTGTACCTTGCTCTGAACCATCAGTTTGAAGAAATAGTCAAATGAAGCTTTAGAACAGCTCAATTAAAAAAAACTGCAGCTAGGTTGAAACCATAATGTAATAACCAGCTATACATTTTTCCATATGAAATTGCAAGTAAGCATAGACATGTATGTCAGTTGATCATGAACTCACCAATCTGAATCTTTAATAAGTCTTTCGATCAGAGAGAGATAAGTAAATGCTGATTTCTTTTTGAGTCATCGCCATTCATGATACTCGAGGATGTCTGTAGACGATTATCTAAGATACTTTGTTTCATGTTGCAATCATCAATCAAACAATGTCAAGATAATTTGTCACTCTTGATTTTCGGATTGCAGCTGAGTGTGTCTCTTACGGAGAAGAAACGCATGTGAACAATGTATGAAACTGTTTTCATTACCGAATGTGAAAAGCGCTCAATGTTTATACTAGAAATCGACAAAACATAACTATGTAACACAGGTGATCATGCCAATTAAATAAACCTATCTTCGGAGTTACTCTTTCATCTGAATGACTTCATAACCTCACTTCGATGAATACAATGATTTTCTGCTGAAAGTTTTGAAGCATCTCAATTCGTTATTCTATCGTGTATTATCGGTTTTATGCATTCTGTCCGAATTTGTTTTAATGATAAGTATTTTTTATCTCGACTAAAATGGTATCGAATCAAATATACCCGAAAAAAATTTCCCTTCGTTTGTTTGTTGCCATAAGCGAAGAGAAATTCAGTAGTCTAGTGCAAAAAATGCAACAACAACCAGAATCACGGTGGCGACGACGACAACAACATATAAGCGTTGTTAGTGTGCATTAGACTCTTTTCTTTCATCACTCATAAATTACGAAGTAGCTGATTGATGGATAGTTTGTGAATTAATTACTAAGCACTAATCTAATTATAGTCTGCAATTCCTTATTTACTGAATAATGAGAATCAACACCGCAATAATAGCTGGAAAAATGTAAAACTCATTTGAGAATGCGAAGCTTATTAAGGGGAAAAAAGAAGACTAGATTCCGATTTTCATGTGAAGTTTTACTTATTTGCATTTTGGTCTACAAAAGTAAGAAAAACTGAGAGTTTAATGCATGATGAACTGAAATCATTTTTGGAAACTCAAAATACATTTTGATCTTTGATTGATCATAGTAGAAATTCGACAGAAATGAAGAAGATTAAAGTTGTATTATGGTGAAAGGAGCATACACCGTAAGAGAGCATGGTTTAGTTTAGACTGAAACTTACATTTACTATTGTATACTCAGTTCCAATAGGTTTGAGTAAATGACAAGCGAAAAATGTGTTTATTCACGAAATACAATTTGAAGTGTACTTCAGAAGTCTAGACACTAGTATGAAGTCCGTCCTAGTATGCTTACTTTTGCTCGCAAAGTGCACATTTGAATTTGAGTTTTAAAGAAAGCTGGTGACTCCATAGTTATGTACCGACAAAGTTAAGATTTTCAAGTTAATACATTCGATATCCAGAAACTTTATTTTAGCAAGTTGTACTAAGCATCACGTAATGAAGCATTTTTCACAGGTACAAATAGTTCAATTGAAAAAGACAATCGTACATACGTAAATGTTCGAAAATGGCGCAGCTCAATTTGCGACTCTATAATCATTGCATCATCCATGTCATTGTTTTTGCCCAAGATCGCATTGATGTTCGATAGCAATACTTCAAAACTATCACCTTTTATCCAGCTTCGTTGGTTTTAATATCATTTTTAGCTACTTTTGCAAGCCACCTAACAACAATGGTTTCTTCATACTCTATTGTCACTGCTGGTGGGCAATCATTTAATAGCATGCAATCATCTGTGGTACTTATGTAAATGGTTCCCATAAATTTCACATCTTCTCTGCGTGTAATTCGTATATTTACTTTCAATTTTGCTCCCGAAAATATTTTAATAGGGATGGAAGATTGCTTTCAATGTCACTCAAGAGAGAATTATTCTCTATCTTTAATACGACTTATGGAAGTAACGGTACATTGGACTTTGCTCTTCCTAACTGGTAAAGAATCACGATAATTGGTAGTAGTCACGATAATAATTTATCTTCTTATACTCTTGGTTTGCAGACTGGAAGACAACAGATTACATTGACTTGAAGTCAAATGCCAGCACACATACACTCAATTCCAAGTTCAAATCAAGTCATCGGCGTCACAGGTGGATCGAAACCTTTAGGCAACCTTCAGCTATCACCGTCAATGATCTACATTATCTGCACATTCGAAAATTTTTCATCCCCTGATTCTATTGTGAGATTTCTCTTCATTGGACAAATTGTCGCTCTTACTGGAAACTCAATTCCAAGTGGATGGGCACTCGCTGATGGAAGCCTAATTTCCATTAGACAGAGTACTGTTGTATTCGCTGTAATCAGTACTACTTATGGGAGCGATGGTCGGTCCAATTATCGGTTACCCAATTTACGAGGTCAAGTTGGCGTGGATATGGCTACAGGGCGTAACACACGTCTTGGTGATATCAGGGGAACAAAGTCTATCACTTTTCTCAGTACCAATTCACCTTCACATCAACATAATCTGCTTAGTAGTGCGTATGATGCTAATCAGACGGAGAGTACAAGTGGTGAACAGCCATTCCAAAATGCACAACCTT